TACATCTATATATTTATGTCAACATTTTATACATGCGTGATTGTATTTATCATGTTGAATTAATTGATTTGAATATCTGCCCTTTGACACTTCTTACAGAAATAACTATCAAAAAGTGCTCATTTCAGTAGCGGCCTTTTTTTGCCCTCAGAAATAACAAGGAACTGCGGCATCCAGTGCAAAATTCCCCATGGCTACTTAGTGAACCTGAGTGCTCTAGTGTGGATGCACCCATTGCATCGAAACCCAAACACTTTTGCCAACAACGTATTACAGTCATCTTCTCAAAAAACAAAACAACAACAAACACGCACACAATGCAATTTTACTTCTTGAAGTAACACAATAACAAAATACATTTGTAAGCGGCTTTCTAGACAATCATATTGCATATATATACTATGATCCAAGGTATTCGGGTTGACTGCACATTTTTTATATTCATCACTATTTCTAGGAAACTCACTGTTGAACTGTTTCAACAGGCATCAGCTAGTTCTAAATAATTTTGAAGTCCTAGATTATTCAATAATGTTTTAGTATATTATTTAGGAATATTCTAGAACATCCTGGAATGTTGTAGCATATTATGAAACATTCAAGAGTATTCCACATTATTCAAAATGTTTAGGAACATTCCACAGATAAATAATCCATGCTGTCACTTTTTACTTCTGGAATATTCTGAATCACATCTTGGAACTTTTCCTGGAATGTGTTTTCATAGACTGCATGGTCCAGATACTGCAATTTTCAACTGAGTCCAGCAATCTTGGGAATACATAACCCAGTCCAGTTATGAAACTGCAACTGCAGTTGACCATGATGGATTAACAAAAATCTTAGAGTGCAATTTATATAGCACTTGGAGCACTGCATCATGCATGGTGGATAACCAAGGCATTACGTGTGATAAAGTCCGTGTTTAAATGTTTAAGGGACAGTTTAAGCTTATTGGCTACAAGCAAAGAAGACTCTGTGACACCTGCATCTTTGTTGTTCAAGTCTATCTTAGGGCATGATTCACTACTCCTGATGTCATTTCTGTTCCTTAGTAAGTATAAGAAGGTGAATTCTACTCTTTCAAAATCAGCCTGTCAAAAATTTGCTGGGCAGCTGGTATTTCAATGAGGAACTCATTGATCTGGCATTCTTTGATTCAGCTGTATCCACAGAGACAAAACACGCAATGGTAAAGGCACTAAATGAGAACAAAGCCATGGATAAACTTCCAAGGTGCATCTAGCTGAATATTGGATATTTCATCACAAAGAACACGACAGGCTTCTTCAGGTGCCTCAAAATTCCATCTGGAATTCTTGAATATGACCCCAAGTCATTGAAGCTTAGAGAGGACTACAAGGAGGCATTACAGACAGTTCAACACTTGAATGTGGTCAATGACAATGCTTAAAGGGGTGTGGTTCTTATTAAGGAGTATAATGCCATCATAACAAAGAAAGAAGAACAAAAAATAATTCCTCCTTCAAGTTGTGCTGGGTATTACGAAATGCTTTTCTAACATAAAAAAAAAAAACAACAATACAATAACCACACCAAAATCATATAATTATACTATTTTACATGCAATACAATAATAATATACTTCAAATAAATAATTCATAATACTCAACCTTCCCGGCTACTGCAGCTTATAACTTCAACCTCCTTAGTCAACCTCTAAATATGGTTCAAAATGGATGAAGTTTAACATTTAATGTATTTTTTGTACATTGAGACAAAATTAGAGGGTGAGAGCTTCAGCTATTTGAACCTGTAAATAAGACCACCTACTTTAGAGCCAGTGTTGATCAATATACTTCAAGGCTTCTCATGAATAAAAATGTCAACTAGTTTCTTCATATCTCACTTGGGGCACATAGGATATTCCCAGCTGAACTTTGCACCTTATGTCAAACTAATTCCTGTTTATCTGGAGCCTGGTTAGCTCTTTATTGTTCTTTTTATCTAGATGAAAAAAGTTCTAGCAGCGAGGGTAATCAACTGATGATTGACCCAGGGCAGAGTGGTCAGAGAAGCTATTTGTATTTTCTCTGTCACTCATAAATAAAACTATTTATCACTAATTCTTATTGATTTTGTAGGATTTTACCAAGCTCTTCTTGTAGGAGTTATTGCATAATGACAGCTTTTCTAGAAATATATTTTTTCATTTGGGCTGGGGGGGTATAGACCACCACCTACTGTTGGAGTCTATATAATCCTTCACAAAGCCAGAACAAAGAAATTTGCAGATGACTTACGATTACTTATTCTTCACAATGTTATTTTAAATCAATGAAACCAACTGCTTATTCTCACACTGATTTAAATACACATCTAACTTGTATATGTGAATACAACCCGTGCGATTTCCAATAGCAATTGCTAAGTAACATAGACTGTTTGCTGTTTTTGCTAGAATTAATACTTATAAAAAAAAAAACAACAACAAAAAAACATTTCTTACCTGTCAAGGCATGCAAGGACATTCTTACATTACTGTTAAAGGATACCACACTTTTTAATAATAGTTAGTGAAATATTTTATTGAAATACATTAATGCTCTTTTTTATGACAGGCCTTTTTTTTTTCTCACAGTCGATACACAAAGATTGTATTCTTCCAATAGATTTTTTATATAGTATGTATAACAAACTTCTGTTTTTATTCAGATCAAAATGAAAAAGTTCAAATGATGGAGCTTCATTGAACAATAATTTACACTGATTTCTATTTTAACAAAAAAATTATAATCTAAACAATATGAGCACAAAGACAATGAGGCAAAATACTACAAAATGTACACTATTTTAGTCCTGCACAGTCAATATATTTAGTAAATACTAAAGTTTTTATTTGTGTGATACCTCACTCTGATTATTCCAATAATAACCCAAAGATCCAGAATGTTAAAATTTATAGATATTCAATATTATTTTTAAATTTGATTAATGATTAATAACAAACATCTGAAATTCTAATATTTTTATAAAATGCTGTTGTCTTCCTAGTATATATCTTATAATCACTTGGTTCTCACAAAAGATTCTCAACAAACTGTGATGTAAAAAAACTGACAAGAACCTGCTGAAGTACATAACACTACACTTTTATCATTGTTACAAGACACCCAAGAGAGAAATGGTTAACACGTACAAGTTGGTGACCAATAGTTTCATCAGTAACTTTGATATTTTGTAAAATTGGTGATCACTGTAGATTATTCTTAATATCAATAATCATATAGAAAATATGAAACTAATTAATAACAGATTTTGCTTCACACAAAATTAAAGATTCCCTATTGGAAACCACAGAAGAATTCCCAGTGATGTCTTTGAGGTAATGACATACACCTATGACTGTCAATCTTAAAATACCAAGCTAATCTGTTTCAAGCTGACAACCCGAAATATAGAAACCAGCATAACAACAAGGGCTTGTTGGGTGAGTACAGGGTACAGTAAATACTTTAAAGATGAGCAGAATGGACATTTTTTCTGTCCTCGTATAAAACCATATAGTAACAACCATCACAAAAGCATGGTACGTTTGAGTGTCAGACAAAACTAAAACCACATTTGCGATTTATTTATGATGTCATATGTGTCTCCAAGTAAACAAAAATACTAAACAGAGAAAATTCTACTTTAACAAATATTCTAATTCACTTTTTCATAAGAGTTCTTAGGTTAGTGTAAGGGTGAGAGCAACAAGTACACTTTTATACGACATCTCCTAGTATTAGAAATATTAAGACACGTCATAAATAAAAACTAAAGTAGTGATAAAAAAAAGATAAGAAAAATACAGTTTTTAAAATGATTTCAATAAACTTTGAGAACAACATTTAATATATATATATATATATATAATCTTTTATGTATAGAAAAATTCCATTATCTGAACACTGATGTAATAAACATCAAATATTCATGAAACTTGAAGATATCACAGATCTAGTGATTTTTTCCAAGTTAATATATCAGTACCAACCTATTCACTAGTGTATCGCTGTTTACAAGATTCTATTTGTTAACTGAAAAAATTCACTCAGTCTAAAATATCCAATTGCTTCATCAAAAACTCCCTTCACTCGTCAATCAGAAAGGTGTTTTTTCTCCACGACAATGCACGTCCACGTGTGGCACGTTTGATGCAAAGGATCAGGATTAGTGTGTACTGTTTATAAGATTTCCATATATGACTTAATAAAAGTACCCTATTCTATAAGTACATTAAAAACACACAAATACTTAAATGAAACTACAAAAATTCTCAAATTACTCCCTGATAAATACGAGAAAGTATCAAAAGTATTAAAATAATACGAACTAAGCAAAATACCTGCATGAAACATTTTTAGGTTTCGGATATAAAAGATACACAAATATAAATTTTATAGATGTAAGTACAAATGAAAATTAGTTAAAAAAATATTGAAGATAGCTTGCAAATTTCAGGATTCATTAAATGTAAACCACTTTATACAGACATAAAATCTACAAAAAACACTTAATGCAAGTTCACTTTACAACCCTCAAAATTATTAAAATTTACTAAAGGTGTGGTGATACAGGGATACGATATGAGTATCATATCGTGAAGCCATGATACGATTGTATCGATACATTGTCCAATACAATTTATGTATCTTCACGAAATTTGACAAGCTTTCAGTAAAAATTACAAGTCTTTGCACAGAAAAAATCAGAATTTTTAATAAAGTATTTTTTGCTAAAAATTAATGATTCAATAAAGGAAGACGAATATTGCGTACTACATGTTGTCTTCATTTCTTTTATCAGAAATATTACGTGTAAAGTAACATAGCAAATTAACAATAACAAAATAGATAGACAGATATTAACTTTTTTCACTTCTCTTGCCAGCTGCCATATAGTTGATCAAACCTGAGAATTTGAAAAAGCACTGTAAAGTGTGAAGTACTTAAACAAGACAATGATAGTAATATAGATAATAAATTACAGACAGGACCGTCAAACTTTGTAACAAACCGTTGGTAAAACTTCTGTATCTAGATACGTATCATATCACGGCATCAATATCTAGATACGTATCGTATTGACTACTATAATGAGATATGCATCCCTAAAATTTACAAATCAACTGTAGGTAAAACTTTAAAAAATAACAACAAAAAAACATGAAATTTGTTGCTTGACTTGAATTTCTGTCAGCAAAAATGACAATTTGAGGCTATCATAAAAATGGACACTTGTATTTAATTAGGAATGCTGTACGATATATCAGTAACAAATGATTATTATGTGCAAGTAGAGAAAGGTTTTTACAAACAAGATACGTAAATGGTGAAAGCAGTTTTCAAAATTTCTTGCTGAAAACTTAAGTTCCTTAACAAATATTAGCTAAAATGTAGGGTCCCTTTGAATATATAAAAATAATTTGTATGACATGTGTTGATTCAAATATATTAACTAATGGTTTTTTGAGCAACTTCTGTATTAATAACGAGATACAATAATACTTCCATGGTCATTACTCTTGGTCTCAGTAAAAAACCTTTCTCACAACATTATAAAATGACTGACATAACATTTGCTAATTTTCTAAGACAATGAGCTTGTTGTCAGTTTTATCGGAAAATTTTAAGATTTATAAATAAAAAAATCTTCACTAAAAATCAAGAGGATGTTTTTAAGGCACTTTACGGTATTCTGTGATATGTACAGTATAATAAGCACAGAATTCACTTTACACTTTACACAACACACCTAGTTTTTCCTTACAAATATAGTGTGATAAATGAAGAGAACTGGAGAAACTTTGAATTAAATGTTGACAACATACTTAACATGGACACTTGACATTTAACACATCAACAAAAAAAAAATGTAATGAAACATTACTTAAGTAAAATAAAACTTGTATAACGCACACAGCTGAGATTCTTTGCATTAACTCTAAACTTTATGCAACATTCTAGACATTATAGCACAAGTATTCTTAAGTATATAAAATGTTCTGAAAAACTAGAGCATGATGTTCAATATTGCTTAGATCTCTTTTTGCGAGTTGGAGGGCCAGCAATGACGATATGTTGCATCTCATCAAACGAAACCAAAAATGTCAGCCTAACTGAACTTTTACTACTTATTTTCACCTCATAACTTTAAACATGTGTACAGAACTTGTTAGTATGTATTACTTGTTGAAATATTCATACCAAAGTATGTAGAAGGATATCTTTAAAAGTATGTGAAACATACACATATTATGGACATGGAAGACAGTTTTGCTGTAAAAATCTAAAAATGGAAGTATACATTAGAAAGCACTGGTTCATCTTCTTAGTTTGCTGGGAAGAGAATTTTTAAGGTCTTCCTCCATATGTTGGGTTCTTGAAGGTTGTTGTAGCTTGTTTGTAGATAGGGTTTTCTCCCTGTATGAAAAGCAGAAATCAGTGATAACATAACAGAGGAAGTTTAACATCATTGGAAATATGAAACTAACCTCAGAAATTTGTATACATGTATACAGAGTTAGCTATTTTTTGATGCAGCCATAAAATACAAATACTATGATATACACGTAGCTAATTCCATAAATCAGCACTTTCGTTAGAGCTGGGAAGTTAGTGCTAATTAATCAATTACAATTATATTACATGACCCCCCCCCCCAAAAAAAAAAAGAAGAAGAAAGAAAAACAGTTACCATTATGTTTGTTTTTAATATATGTAATAATCCAACACTAATAAATTGATAACTAAATAATGAAAACATGTTCTTCTATCACAATCAAGAGTAATAACGTTTTTATTTAAAACATACCATGGCTACAATTATAAATAATTAAGTAGCTAGTTAACCAACTGTTTATGTATTAAGCTGTAAAGAAATTAATGTCACTTTTTTTTAGATGAAAAAACCCGAACTACTTATATATCAAAACAAATCATTTATTAAATGAAATAGTCTCCATTCTTATCGATGACGCTTTTCCATCTAACAATCAGGTTGTTAAGGCCCCGATTAAAGAAATCACTTGGCTTTGAAGCAAAACACATGTCAATGTCCTCTTTGACACCTTCCACATTTGCATAATTTTCCCCATTAAGACGGTGTTGCTGCAAATGAAAAGAATGGTAATCTGATGGTGCCGTATCTGGAAAATATGATGGGTGGGTGGGTGTATGAACTTCCCAACCCAACTCCATAATCTTGTTTTGCATCAAACGTGCCACACGTGGACGTGCATTGTCGTGGAGAAAAACACCTTTCTGATTGACGAGTGAAGGGAGTTTTTGATGAAGCAATTGGATATTTTTGAGGGAATTTTAAAATTGCTTCAGTATTTTGAGCGTTTTAAAAGAGTTTAAGAAAAGTTATAACGATTTTCTGAGTGAACATATACATGAAGAAATAAATGCCGCAAGTAAAAGACGCCTGTATAATGAAATAAGGTCAGGAGCTAGGAAAGTAGAGCTAGCTGGTTAAGTGGTATTGAGAATCATGAGTTAATAGTTATAAAAAATGAAGCTACAACAGAGACGCTGAGAAAAACGCTAGCCATAAGTTTGACCGTGATAAATTACCTACACACGAGTTAGTGGTAGAGTAAGGGCTACTAAAACTTTATGACATCTCAAATTGGCGTTTTGATGCGAGATCTGTTACTCCATACCAATGTAATAATACAAGTAAAAAGGCAACTCGAGCACTCACTATCACAGTAACCAAAGAGTTTGGTTCTTGTTTTGGATTAGCCTGGGGAGTTGCACGGATTGACCAATAAAGTGTTAGAACTATTTGCGGGTAGTTAGGAATACTAGAAACATGAAGTTATATGTGAGTTATAATTATTAGTATTGTTAACCCAAATGTGCTGTTTTAGGGAGAGTTAATAATTGATTAAAGAAGTGCATTCTATGTTACGAAACGTAAATAAACTTGATGTATTGTGTTGAATATCAGTCTCAGGATCAGTTTCTTTAGTCTAACCGTAAATCTCCGCAAGTTAGCAACTTGTGAGCTCCACTTGCCACTGCAATCCTCAAATAAATTAATTTGGTGTAATCAACAGTACAGTCGAAACTCCGACTAGCCCTAAGGGTGCTGTCCATTACACAGATGAAGGGCTTAATTTAAATGTTCCAGTTGCTGACTACAGATCTCTGTATTGACAGTTTGCTGTGGAATGAGGAGTTTGAAATGAATTACTCCTTTGATATTCCATCAAATGCAAAGCATCACTTTCAGCGGATAGAGTCCAGGTTTTGGGGTCAGAAATGGTTTTTGTTTAGGACTGAGCCATTGTTTTTGGCATTTAATATTTGCATAGAGAATCCATTTTTCATCACTGGTAACAATTCTGTCCAAAAATAGTTCACGTGCATTACATGCCAGAAGAGACAAAGCAATGTTCACACGTTGGAAACGATGATCATCGGAGAGTTTGTGAGGCACCCAAACACCTTCTTTATGGACTTTTCCCATATTCCTTAGATGTTCACATATTGTTTCATGAGAGACATGCAATTTCAGGGCCATTTCACGAGTGTGTTTCCTTTGGTTAGATTCAACAAGTGTCTTCAGGCATCAATATCAATTCCAACATCTCAGCCCCTGCCATTAGTTTTTTAAGACTAAATTCACCTGAACGAGATTTGCTGAACCATCGTTGATACTTACGAACATTCAAAACATTTCCATAAACTTCTTTGATATTATTTGTGGCTACAGAGGCATTGTTTCCCTTCTTGCATTCAAACAGCATTACATGCTGAATGTGTGTCTTGTCACGTGCCATCACTAAGGGATTAAAGTATACTAAACTTTACACATTATATAGGCTACACTAAAGTGACATTTAGGCAGTTCGTTTAACTATTATGCGTGATGCAAGTTTTTCGGGGGGTGGTTAATGAAAGTGTTCCAAAACATGACATTAATTTCTTGACAACCTAATACACATTGTTAGAACAAGATTAACATAGAAATAATACTCAATAAAGATTTGAGTCATCAGAATATTTTGCCTACCTACCATACTTAATGGTAATGCCACGTTAACTGTGGCAAAACATTGTTTTATTGTATAATTTTTCTATCCCATTTTAGCCATTTTTAACTTTTCAAGTGTGTGGGATACCTCCACATTTATTTTTTAACATAATGGTAACATTTTGATTTTTGAGTAATTGGAAACAGTAAATACTTGGAAACCCTAGTTCTAATTAGTTGATAATTTTCATTATAACCAATGTAACTTCATTTAGTTGATTACTTTCATAATAACTGATGTAATTTTGATTAACCAATTATTTCAATTATCAGAAACACTAATAATTAGTACATTATTTTTGTGGTGTTAATCGATTAATTTACCAGACATACATAACTGATTATGTTGATTAAATCACCCAGTTCTAACTTTGGTTCTGCCCCTGTTGTTCGGTGCATGAACAAGTTTACATTACAGAAATTTTCAATGATTGCCTTATAATGAAACAAATAATTGACGTGTTATTGCATGTACATTTGTAACAAACATGACATTATTAAATGTTTGAAGTTCACAGAATACATTGTACAACAAATTCAAGATCAGTGAATTACCAACAATGCCACTAAAACACAAGTTTTTGATATAATTTTATACATTACTTACTAAAAATTATATTTTTGTTACATCATTCATCAGCTGTAAAATACAGAAATAAATAAATAAATATGATAATTAATATTGCAGTCTCATCTATATAGATATTAAATGAAATTTCAATTCTTTAACACACATTAATCTTTAGGTTTATACTATTATGGAGGAAAAAAAAAAACTACTCACAGTGTCCCACTTCGCCATCTGTCTTTCCTTTTCAAACTTAGCAAATTCTCTTCGATCATGAATGGTAGTGAGCAATTTCCAGATAAGCAAGAGTGCTAATCCTACCAGAACAATACCACCAATAACTCCAAGCACAATTGCTAAAATGTTGATTGGCTCTGGACAATCTAATAATTAAATGAAGAATATAAAATAATTTAAAACTTTTTCACAGTAATTAAACACTTATTTTCTAGCAAAAAACAAATACATCTTTCACATTTACTCTATTATATAATATAATCACTTATATTTTTCTTCAGAAAAACTGGCATTAAGGTCTAACGAAGTAGATGAAATTTAAAACGTTATCAATGTTCTCCACTCTCTAACACAGAGGTAGCAAACCCATGGCAAGCGAAAAAGTCGTGCCTTGCTTATCTTTTAGAAAATATCATGTTGCGACACATAACGCAAATGTTTTTCGAATCTTTGCACATACCCATGAACATACGAGTCATATTATTAATTATTTTGTTTAAATTTATAATGCCTTTTAATTTGACTACTTGAACTTCTCAATTCCTATGGGCTTTGGTTTGGGGCCTAAAACTAACACAACTGCTATAAATTTTGCCACTCGTGCTCTAAGGCAAAATGCTTGTTTCTGTAATGGTTAGTCACTCCTGATAAAGATGTCAACGAAAATAAAGCATTTCAATACATTTCACAATGCATCAAATGAAATTTCTTTAAAGCCATATACCAGTTTCTTTAACCTATGACATATTCTGGCTAATTTACTTGTGAGATTAAATAATGTTTCCTAATAGAAAGAAACAGAATGATGATCGAGTTAAACAGATAAATGCTTGCAGATCTAATAACATCCCCCTATGGCACAGAGGTATGTCTGCAGATTTACAATGTTAGAAATCGGATTTTGATACCCATGGTCAGGGCCATCAAGAATGGCAGCGGGCCTCAGGGCTGGGGTCACCCCAGTGGGATCAAGGAGCTGAGCCCCTGATGGGAGACCAAGAGGGAAGCTCTAGACTTTTAGTAATTTTAGCAATATTTTAAGACTTAATACTACTAAGTTATGGCTTAAAGTGCCGATTTCCTTTGTGAAATTTTCCGTGGACAAAGGCCTTTAACAATCAACAATATCATTTTGAGAAAAGAAAAAATGTAAACATCTGTTCATTTAATTGGATAATTTATTGAAAGTTTAAACACATTGTCAAGAATTACTTTAATGAGTTCAGTAATGCAGAATTGTGATAACTAAACGAAACATGCTTTACGTGCCTTTTTTAAAACAAATGTTTTTATTATTTCACTGAAGTCAATTCTCCCCACAAGTTCGCTCTCAATACTAAGGACGACTAGATCATTCAGTCTCTCCTGTGTCATCGTGCTCCTCAAGAAGCTTTTGAAGAGTTTTAGTTTGCTGAAAGATCTCTCAGCAGATGCTACTCTAACTGGCAATGTGCAGAATATTCACAGTGCAATACATACATTTGGAAAAATGCCATCTAACTTGTACCTTTTTATTGTTTTAAAAAGTTGATATGGCCCCATATCTTCACCAAAATCTGATGCATGTTATACTAGGCCTAAGCAGCTAAGTGTAAGCCAGAAGGCTGATTGGAAAAGTTAAAACCTTGGCTTTTAAGTCTTTAGGCCATTTGCTCTCGGTGGGCCTGCCCATGTTGGGCAGAGAACAGATAGCCCATTGTGTAGCTTTGTGCTTAACTTTAAACAAACAAATCCTAATAAGAAAAAACAAAACAAAAGGGATTAATATAATGTCTAGATTGCAAATGAAGCTTAAAATTTACATTTGTAGAATCAAAATAAATTACAAACAGGCACTTTCTTCTGTAGGTGTTTCCTACTGTGAACAAACAAGTGATTAAAAATTCTAAGTGTTCTCTACACATTCGAGGCCAGTAAAGTAAAAGAATCTGGATTATTATTCATTTTAATAATGAGGAAAGCAAGGATGTTTTATCACTGAGCAACCACACAAACATGAAAACTCATTAGAGAAGCAAGCAGACAATTACTGAAGTAATAACCTAAATATGTTAAATAATAACGGCCAACAATATAACCATAGGGTCTCCCTGCAAACAAGAAGCAGACAACGTAAGGCCTTCAAAAATGTTTTAAAACTTTAGATATTAGTAGAAAAATTAACAGCAGTAAATTGGAAATTCATATAAAACACTGTCAATGATGGGACATGAAGGGTGAATAGTGATCGGCTTTCTTCACCCTATATCATATAAAACACTGTCAATGATGGAACATGAAGTGTAAATAGTGATAGACTTTCCTCAGACTTTCACATAAAATCCTGCTAAAAAAGGGACATGAAGGGGGAATAATGATTCTTTTTCTTAGACTTCCATGTAAAACGTTGCCAATGAATAGATATAATGAAGGGGGAATAATGATTCTTTTTCTTAGACTTCTCTGTAAAACGCTAAAAATGAAGGGATATGATGAAGGATGAATAATGACCCTTTTTCTTGCACACAAAACACACTGACAAGACTATTTTATCATCTGGTTTTACTGTAACAGTTTTTTCTCCTTACCTTTAGTTCTTTCAGCCCAGACCAAAGGCTTGTTATTCTCATCCAATGTGTAAACAAACTTAAACTTACAGTCATCATCATCTCGGAAGACACACAATCTTTGTTCTGGTTCTTTCACTATAGAACAGACATTTATCTTAAGCTACAATTCCATAATAGCCAGTTAATAAAATACAAATTAAAAGCAGATAACTTTTGCCCCTAAAATCTTGTCACAATCTGTTACAAAATCATGCAAGAGTACTTAATGCTAATTTTCTATTTTGTTGAGGTAAAATACAAGGTCACAACACACTTCAGTTTCTCTTCAATTGTTTTATTTCAATGTCTTTTAAACAATCATATAAAAATTGTCAAAACAGTTGGCCATCTAATATCAATAACTTTCTGCACACCAAATGTAAAAGATTTCCATGTGCTGTACATACATACTAAACCATACTGTTATAGCCACTCAGTTAATACCCAGTTCTTGCAATAAACATGTGGTGATTGTCCAGTTTTCCTTAACTACAACTCATAGTGACTAAATGAGTTTATACACAACTTTTTTTTTAGTGTTAGTTTATAGTAAGTAACAATTCCAATAGTGTTCTAAGTCTATCAATATTATGTTTCACACATATGCTTTACTAAAATATCTAGTCCACGATACATTTTCAGCATATTTATTAACTTCTCTATATATTTCCTAAAAAGTTTCTAACAAATAAAATCAAATCTTTCTTCTTGCTAAAATACGGTAATTGCAAATATTACCATACATCTGATTAATGGTAACCTATAAATTATATATGCAGAAATTAAGGTCTAACATTCATCCTGTTTCAATACTCTACTGACTTTCTACTGTTTTTGACATTATTGGATGGTAATGAATCATAACCATCTTCTTACAGATGTAATATTAATAAGTTGAGCATAGTCCTACCATCAAATTGATGAAAGTTCTAAAAGAACTCATAATTTTGAAGAAATAATACAGTTACTACAGTTGGTTTATCTTAACAGACATTACAATTTAGTTCCTTGCTATGCTTTTGCTTGTAGAAACAATTAAGTAACCATAAATAATACTGATTAATACAGCACCATAAGAGGTATCATAGCTATTACGACAAAGCAAAGAATCTCTGGAGGTTGCATCTGATAGTGATAAAAAAACTTGGTTAAAATATATAAATAAATTATTGTTAGATAACTGGATATTTTATAATGATTAGACAATTTCTACACTGCACTGAGGATGATTCTTCAAAAATAACGAGTCAAGCATTCCAAGCAGAGAAACAAGAAAACAAAACAAAAACGTACAAAGCAAATAGTAATGTGTATAACTATTAATTAAGCATTTAAAGAAATACAAATTAGAAATTATAATAATTCAAGAAGTGTAAACAGTATATTAGTTCTACAGAATTAGTAATTATCAAGTGTCAAAAATAAAAGTACTCTTAATGATTTTCTTTCCTTAATAACTTAAGCTTTAGGAGACTACAAACAGAAACTACTTTATGGCAAAAATACAAATCTGTTTAATCTAAGCACTTTCAAAAGACGGACCTTTCTTCATCAGGAGAAAATTGATGAAGAAAGGTCCATCTTTTGAAGGTGATACAGTTACAGGTTTTGTATTTTGGCCTTTAATTGATTTTTTGAGCCTATGTATTTTCCCAACATCATGAAAGAAACTACTTTCTGATATAAAACACTCTAGGACTAGTTGGTACAATTACCTTCAGCTTCACTAACTTCTTCTGGAATAAAAGAACAATTTTTGCATTCCTCATCTGACAGTGGGCCAGATTCAAACACTAAACACTGAACACACTCTTTAAGATCTTCACAGAGGCCAGGACACGTCTATAATGTTAAAGAAAAGTTAGAATATTTTAATTAATTTTTTTTCAGTTCACTCTTGGTTTATTTTGGATATCTGTGCAAATCTACACAAGGGCTATCTGCTCTAGCTATCCTTAATTCTGAACTGATAGATTACAGACAAGGCAACTGGTCAACAACACCCACCTATAACTCTTCGGCTAATCAGACTGTAGGGTTTGACCATTATTCTTGTAGAGCACCCATGACCCCAAAGTCAGAGTTTGATTTTTTTTGTAATAATGGAATGCCAACCATAGACCTTCAAATACACAGTCCAGCATGCTAACCATTTGCCCACATTTGTCCCTCAGTTTACTTATTCTATATTTTACTCGTTACTGATCAAAATTTGAAGCTGAAATTAAAAAGAATTATTTTCTACATATAAAAAAAACTCCCCAATTTACAGTTTTGTACAAAACAGTTCTACTGACACTAACCAGAATGGTAAAAACAGAGCTTAGGTCAATATATTAATATATCACAGTTATCAGTCATTGTTTGTTTTTATATTAACTCAATTCAGTAAATATATGCAGAACTCTGTACTCACAGGACACTCCTCACAGTAGCGTCCACTGTATCGTTGATCTTCTGACTCAAAGCACTCACAGATACCACACTTGCAATCACCATGACCACTACAAATTTGCTAGATTTAAAAAACAAAAAAAAAGAGAGATAAATGCATTTTTACCTAGCTATAACTAAACAACTGATCAGGCTAACATCCAAAGACTAATATTTCTCCCCGAGTTAATGATTAAAGAAACATTTTAAGTGATGCTGATTAACACAGATCTACCATAACACAGTTTCAGGGCATGGATGTTCACACCCTATCTCCTCATTTTCCTGTACCAACTTTTTATATTTATGTATTCTTAAGGTAATTACAGATGACAGCAGATTTGATATACTTTTAATAACAAGCACGTGTTGTCTTGGCTATATCAGGAAATTTATAAGAGGAACCTCTGGAATTGCTTATCATTGAATTAGTCTATTTAAAGTTCTTAAAATATTGCATATTAATACCCATTTAATACATACTGCTCAATTTTGTTTTCATAATTTGCTTATTATTTCTGAGATTAAATACATCATTTTTATCATAAATTTTGGCTATTTAGCAACAAAAATTGCTATAATTACTAATGCTTCAAGTCTTTGTCAATAAATTATTTCAATAGAGAGAAAAAAACAAAAAAAAAACTTTGTTAAGCATACGTTTTTACTATACAAAATTTCCTTAAAAGCGATACATGTTAATAAAAATCAGAATAAAGTTAAAAATCACCAATGCTACTGACATTTTATAAGAACTTAAGCAATGTCCTTGTTTTTTGTTATTAAGCATAAAACTACACAAAGGGCTATCTGTGATCTGCCCACCACGAGTATCAAAACACTGTTTCTAGTGATATAAGTTTGCAGAGATTCCACTACAAATAGTTCTTGTAGCCTTTATTCCTTTGCATACTTACATCACTATCAGGTGCAATGCAAGTTTCAACACTGTCCTTACACTCGCATGCACTGCCTTTCCAACCAGGTAAACATTCACATTCTCCACACTCGCACTTCCCGTGGCTGGGTCCTGTGAAAGACAGGAAAAATAAATAAGTGATATTAATCAAATCAAGGTTAATTGCCTGAATTTTATCCATTCACCTTCTGTACAAGTGAGTTTGTGATTGTATATACTTGTAGTTAACTTATAACATTTGAAAAGGCATGACAGGTTCTTAGTAGCAAAAAGGTGAATAAAAATATGTCAGGCCTACAACAGCAGAAGTACCTATAAATACTACATGCCACTCCTATAAACTAGTACAGGTGATATATAAGAAATTCTACATACCAGCTACATGTCATGTTGTTTCAGCTACAATGATTTCTAAAAAAGAAAGAATCAAGTATCTGCAGTACACAGCAGATTTTAAGTTAAGTGAAGCACAGAAGAAACAGAACCGAGTCAGCAAAGGAAAATAATAAAATATAAATGTGCAAGTAAACAATCTTTATTCTTATCCAAACCACATGTATTGCTGGAGCTTCACCTTTGGAGCAAATATTAACATGTCCACAGACTAAGAGAAGAATCATGATGATACCACACTTTCAAGACAGAAAACAGTCTAGTGTAATATCATACAATCCAAAATGATCTAAGTCGACCATTATTCAAGTTATATATATTTAAGAGATATAAATCCCCTGATAATACTGACTTGTACAAGGTTTTGTACCATCTCTTAAAATGAGTATGACCTCATTCCAATGAAATATGACTAGGAAACAGGGTTAACCCTATGCGCATAAGTGGAGGTCAAAGTGCACATGAGTGTTCTTTTAAAAGAGTGTCGTTCAACATGATATGATGTATCTGATGTCAGAGTTACCAACTATTCATTTTACCCCACACTACTGATTTAGTAACAGTTCATGGTAGAGGAGAGTAAATAGAGGATAAAATATACAGGGATACTAAAAAAAAAAGTTAGATCTGCATTTCAGAGGTTCTAAAAGTCATGCAAATTGTACGATGGACAAAAATATTTTTGTTCTGCACATGAACACCATCTTGCTCTCTGACTTTTCAGAGTCTGAGTCTGACTGATGTTGTCAGTCCACAGACATATCTTGAGAATAAATACTTTTGGTAACACATCTGATTTTTTGTGTACAAAGACTTGTACATTTTACTAAAAGACTTGTCACGTTTCATGTAGATGCACATAGTAAATTTGGAATTATAGATAACATTCCTTTTCTCCAATACAGAATCGGTAACAGACTGAGTCCATGTACATTTCATTAAGCAAGTATAGGTTTCACCAAACATTCATTGTAATACATAACTTTTGTCTAAGCTAGAAGATCAATGCAAGTTTATGACTTTTGATATTCTGTTTACAAAGTCATCAACTAACTACGTGCAGAAAACACTCACACCTAAATACAGATTTATCTAATATATTCTTTAATAATTATGGAAGGGAGAAATATAGCAGTCCTTTCATTAGCAACCTATGCACTGATGCAAGAACATTTCATAAATCTTCTTTAATGCAAAAATTTTCTCTTACAAAATTGGAAAATAGAAATAGGACAGAAGATACAGTAAATATACATGCCAGTTATATACAATAAGACCAGTTGTAAAATAGGAATATTTGTACCAATATTATGTCATCACCTGAAAAATTCTGAATGGCAACAGGTCCATCTGTTCTAGGGCCTTTAGAATTTTAGCAGCATTTTCGTATTACAATTTATTTAACATAAATGATCAAAAACATGCCAATTATTTTTTAATGACCTAATCTTCACATAGTTTTGAGCCAATCCATGTGTAACATGTAGATACGTGTAAATATTTAAGCTTACCAACAATTTCAATGATCATATATTGAGCAATATATATAAATTAAGGTGTAATTTTTTATTCATACATACATTTTTAAAGATGTATAATAAAACATGACAATCAACCTCTTCAGTGCTGTTCATCAATGCTCAACTGTGAACTGCTTAATAAGTTTACTACTATCAGCATACGTGGCACATTTTGGAAGTCAGGGAGTAAAGAGGTTATGAATAACCTACCTTTCTTTTCTGAATAATAAGGAAAACAAAAACTGGAGAAATAACAATTGTACTGGACAAGTAGATAATTTAGATTTTACTGTTCATTATTAAGATAATAACAAATCTACTACTTTCAATATTAAGACTTAAAAAATGGTGTGTATGAAAATACTGCATTAAAAATTTATGAATCTAATGACAAATGAAAGTTGGAATCAACTGGACAAATTTTTTGCATTTATAAAATAAAATCTAGTTACACAAATGATAGGAGTTTGATAAGCCATGAACAAAACCCATCAATTCCAATACAATTTTAAAGTTATATATTTGTGGGGTCCAGGAATTACACAATATAAACAAATATAAAGGATTGCATTGTATATTCTGACATGAAATCTATTTTCGTAGTTGATAATAATTTTGTGAATCTGCAATTAAACCTTAAAGCCTTTGTGGCTAACAAAATTTTAAAATTTCTAGATCAATTGTGAATATTTTATTTTACCAACTGCCAGAGGATTTGCTTTTAAATACACCCTAAGCAGGAAAATATAAAATATGCATTGATAAACTGTTATATAGTTATATTCACACTAATCAAAATGTAATTTCTATGACTGCATTGTTTACACAGTGGAATAACAAACAACGATAAATATTAATTTGTGCATATACAAATTTACATCTAGTCTATTTCATCTTTCTAAAATAAAGTATTACCACATACAACAAATTAACATTTTTTACAAAGCTGTAATAGTACATTTTCTTAAGTATAAGACATATTATTCATAGAAAAAGATAGAAAATCATACCCCACTTTTCCTTCATACTGCCCCATCATGTACCCCACTTTTCCCTCATACTGCTCCAATATGTTGGTTATTTATTTCTAGCAATAATAAGTTATTTCATAATAGTTTTCTCATTGCAATTATTATGTTGTAAGTTAAAATTTGTAGTTTAAATATTTTGACTGACTTAATTTTTGACATCATAATAATTTATTTTCAGAAGCATTCAAATGCAAATTTGTATATAAAATTTAAAAGGGTAGACTACTTACCACTACAGATTTCACCTTCATAACGATCACAGGAAAAATTGTCACATTCACAAAACCTTCCAGTCACTGTTTCTTCTGGGTTCTGTAGTAAAATATTTATATAGAATAAAAACTATTACTGAAAACATGATTAAAACTGTATTCTATCAAAAACTTTCTTTATAAAGAAAATAAAAATAAAATGTTTAGTGAATATCATGTAAAAGAAAAAATTGATTAAACTTTCCTGCGAATACAACAGTATATATCTCCAGTAGACTATACTTCAGAATGAATGTTTCACAGAAACTTTCCTTCATTGCTTCATTTCCTAAAATGGTAGTGAATTCTCACGCGACTTAAATTATCTTCCTTACGAATGTAAAAGCATAATTTAAACATTTTTGACATAAATTTTTATTCATTTTGAACTTCCCACTTGGCTGGTTTTTGTTGTAATAAATTAACAGAATTTAAAAATAACTTGCTTGTCTTTGAAAACATTCACAAACTCCACAATGACAAATTCCTCTTCCAGTACAAGGTTTGGTGTCGTTGCCACTGAAAATAAACAAATAAATGTGGATTACAGACAACCACATGCTGATATATGCAGTTACATTATTGTACATGTATAATGTGTTTGGCATTATATTAGCACCCTTTACATAAATATATATAATTGTTTCAAAAGTTTTGCACAATTCTACATAATGGGCTATCTAGACATAGCCATCTTAAATTTTGAAATGATAAATAAGAGGGAAGGCAGCTGGTCAACAGCACCCAATAATTCTTGAGCTACTTGTCTGACCACATAGTAGGATTTGACCATCATTCTTATAGTGTACCCATGGCCTACCATATATTTTACCCTACACTGTGAGGGTTCGTGGTAGGGAAGACAAAACACTACATACAATATACGGTGATTGAAAGAAACTAGATATACATTTTGGAGGTTCTAGACGTTATGCAAATGTAATATGCAAACTGTATTATGGACAAAAGTATTTTTATTCTTCACACGAACATCACTTTTGTGTATAAGATACTTGTAAAATTACAGTCAACATTCCTTGTGATTGAAAGAAACTAGATATACATTTTGGAGGTTCTAGACGTTATGCAAATGTAATATGCAAACTGTATTATGGACAAAAGTATTTTTATTCTTCACACGAATATCACTTTTGTGTATAAGATACTTGTAAAATTACAGTCAACATTCCTTTTCCAATATGGGTTGATCCAATGGACCAATGTCATGCATTTGTGGTAAATAGATTGTATACCTTCTAGCCTCATTAGGTCTTATCTTCCACAGATGTCTCTTTCTCTTACTCAGATGTATTTGACTACTACCCCATCATAAGTTATACTTTAGTTTTACTTGCCTATCTAGATATAAATATGTTTATTCATTTTAATTTGTTTTAAATTCTACAGAGAATGGTCCAGTTATAATGTTATAAAATCATTAAGACTAGAGAATTTCATCATTAATGAGACTGATTTTTACGTCCAAGATACACCTTGACTTCTACATAGATGATGTCTGGATATAAACAAGATACACCTTGACTTGTACTTAGGTAATGTGTGGACACGTATAAGGTACAACTTGATTTCTACTTTGATAATGTCTGGACACGTATAAGGTACACCTTGACTTGTACTTTGATAATGTCTGGACACGTATAAGGTACACCTTGACTTCTACTTCGATAATGTCTGGACACGTATAAGGTACACCTTGACTTCTACTTCGATAATGTCTGGACACGTATAAGGTACACCTTGACTTCTGCTTCGATAATGTCTGGATATGTATAAGGTACATCTTGACTTGTACTTAGATAATGTCTGGACACGTATAAGGTACACCTTGACTTGTACTTCGATAATGTCTGGATATGTATAAGGTACACCTTGACTTGTACTTAGATAATGGTTGGATACTTACAAGATACACCGAGCTTCATCTGTCGTAAGATCAATGTCCTTGGAATCACATTCACATTTGTTTCCTGATCGTCCTTCGTTGCAGCTACAGGTTCCACATGCATAGGTTCCATTACCATGAGTACACTTGTCACTATTTTTCTCCTGTAATTTAAATAATTCAGAAGGTTATATATATGAACAAAATAATCAAATACCTTTCTCTTTTGCTCTAACTTGTGAAAACCTATTACTCAGTTCTTGTTAGATACATTCGACTCGACTGTTCATTTTAATTTTAATATGAGAGTATTATTTAGTTTATATTGTGCGAGCCTTGAATATTTGAGTATTGAATATTTGGTATTTACATTACTTTTGCAAGTTACATGAACTCCTTGAGTAACAAGTATGATTTCCAGACCACATGAACCAATTTACTAGTTAACAAGCTTTCCAAACCACATAAAACACTTCAGCAGTTAGTAACTACTCCAGACCACATAAAACACTTCAGCAGTTACTAACTACTCCAGACCACATGAATCATTTTAGTAGTTAACAACTACACCAGACCACATGAATCATTTTAGTAGTTAACAACTACACCAGACCACATGAATCATTTTAGTAGTTAACAACTACACCATTGTTGACATGGACCACTGCAAACGGTTTTTAATTTTCTTTTTCCAAAACCGTTTGCATGCATTTTTGCCGCCAACGTGGTCTCCACCCCGATCCTGAGCTCCATCTCGGCAATGTAGTTATTCGTGTGGTCCCTGAGGCAAAATTCTTGGGGCTTATCTTTGACCATAAGCTTAGTTTCATTCCATTTGCAACTTTCTTTACAATATGCTGCCAAGCTTCGATCCTTACCACGGCATCCCACCTGGGATTGTGTCTTTCTCCCACGATGTGCCATGCTCTTTCGGAACAAACAGTCTGCTATTCCTTCCTTTGGCCTTCATATCCAGGCGCAACTGGCTGAATTGCTGTCCCCAATGATCAGCCCATTCCACCTTGGCTTATTACCATCCCTTC